CCCCTCACCTCACCCCCTCATCCCCCCAATCCCCTCGGCTCTCAGTGCAGGGATTGGGAGGACTGGCTGCTTCATTGCCACCAGCATCTGCTGCCAGCAGCTGCGGCAGGAGGGCGTGGTGGACATCCTGAAGACCACGTGCCAGCTCCGTCAGGACAGGTCAGCCCACGGGCAGGGTGAGGGCACGTGGAGAGCTCGAGCCCTCGGGGCGGAAGGGAGAGACTGACACAGGCATGGGGAGAGGGGCAGGAGGACGCACTGGGTGTGGACCGACTGGCTGATGGGGTAGGGAAAACAAGTAGAGGAGCTGGATCTGGACAGCTAGTAGCTGGATGAAGAGGGAAGAGAAACAGCAGGTGACCAGAAGGATGGGCTGAGAGTGGTGGGAATGCCATCTCCATCCCTGCTATCTGTGCCAGGGCTGGGAGGGACAGGAGGGGCAGAGGGGATTGGCTGGCTAGGGCTGGCCTCTCCGAGCTTCACAAAAGACAGGGTCTCTCACGAATGGTTGGTACTCTGTGGGTTGGGGGCACCCGCCTGCAGCCCATCCCTCAACAGCCCTATCCCCACTGCACGTCTCTGCCGGGCAGGGGCGGCATGATCCAGACGTGTGAGCAGTACCAGTTTGTGCATCATGTCATGAGCCTCTATGAGAAGCAGCTGTCGCGCCAGGCCCCGGAGTGACCCCACTGCTCCCCCAAGGTCCTCCGGGTACCACCCGGCCTGAGTCTGGGCCCTCACCCCAGCCACACCCCCAGGGCCCTGCCTCTGGTCCTGGCCTGCTCCCTGCCCTGCCCCTCCTGCTTCCTTCCCTCCAGCCTGGCCCCTGCCCCCAACATAGCTCTTCCTACTGTATATATCGGGGAGTGGGGCAGGGTGGGGGAGGGATGTGCCAGGCCAGGCCTGGGGCTCCAGGACCTGACCCACATCACACAGACCTGGGGCCTCAGTTTTTAATGACGGTCCCATTGCTACTTGATCCAAAATGTGTGTCCCGCACTCCAAGTGTCCTGCCACAGCGTGTTCTGTTTGTCCATCCATCTCTCTCTCTGCTGTCTGTACCGGACACTGTGTCTCCTCAGCCTGGGAAAGGGGTCATGAGCTCCAGCCCCTAAGCCGCCCAGGCAGAGGTGCCTGGCTCAGGCCCCCACCCCACTTCTCCCAACAGGCAGATCGCATTTTCCCCCAGTTATTGGGATCAGGGTGGGGAAAAGGACCTGAGGACCTGAAGGTCAGGCATGGGGAGCTTCTGAGTGGGGAGAGAGATCTCAACTGGGGGAGAGGTCTCTGGGTTGGTGCGGGTAGGAGGGAGAGGGGGAGCTCTGAGGGCAGGTTGGGCACTTGGCCCCAGATCTGTGTGAAACATTTTTCTGTGTCACTGTGGAAAGCCTTCCCAGAAGTCTTGCTGCGTGTAGCTCTGCGTGTGTTCCCGTGTCCATGCGTGTGTTGAGAGCCCATCAGCAGGGCATGCATGACTCTTTGGCAACGTGTGTTATCTTGGAGCCACGTGTTTTTATTGCTGACTTTAAATATTTATTCCACGGCAGACAGAGACATTTGGTGTCTTTTTATAATTTGCTCGTGGTCATTGAATAGAGCAATAAACAGAGCATTTTGAGCAAAACTAGCCTCCTGGGTCTGTGATTACTTCTCCCCTCCACTTCCTGCCTCCCGATACTGGTCTTCTCCTCCTAGAGTGAGTGAGCGTGTGTGTGTGTGTGTGTGTGTGTGTGTGTGTGTGTGTGAGAGAGAGAGAGAGAGAGAGAGAGGAAGAGAGAGAGAGAGTGAGTGTGTGTGTGACCCTGTCCCTCAATCTCCCTATCACACCCTTGTGGCGATTGGGAGTATGGAGAAAATCCAGATCTGCAAAGCCAAATTAGTCCATTGGACAGGATTCTCACACACCCTCACCCCAATCCAGCCAGAAGCCCTGAGATGTGGAAAGCCTCAAGAACAGGTGTGGAGGCTTCTACAGAAGGCAAAGTGGCTGGCCAGGTACCAGTTCTGACAGATAGGCCTGAGAAGCCAAGGCTGGGGCAGGGGGGCATTCAGGTCACTGCCCCAGGCCCCTCCCTGTTGGCCAGCACACTTATCCCATGTTAGCCCTACAGGTCCCAACAGCAGCTGCAACCCAGTAATTTCCCTTTTAAGGCCTGGGCTGAGAGTAGCCCCTCCCAAGGGGCCTGGGGAATCTGCCCATGGGCTCAGGTTCTGGACACTTCTGCTCTATTCTTGCCCCTGCCCCAGGGATGCAGCAAAAGTAGCTCTGATGACAAGGCTGGCAAGCATGGGTCAGTTCAGGGCAGGAGGGGGCCCAGGGCAGGGCTGCTATCAGCCACCAGGCCTTTCCCAGAACCTCGTGTGGGCTGGGCTGGGGTCTAGCCATGCAGGTAGACTATACACAGTGAGAGAAAAAAAAGAGTGGCTTGAACAGCTGGGATGGAGGTCAGGGTAGGGGCATGCTGTCCAGCAAAAGGGTGGGCTCCTACCCTTCTACCCAGATGGGGGTATTGGGCTGTACAAGTGGGAAGGGAGAGGAGGCCTAACATTTTCCTCTCCTTCCCCAGGGTGGCCCTTCAAGGCCACTCAGGCTGTGCAGACACCATACATAGATGAATGGTGGCCCCTGGATTTGTGCAAAATGGCAGACCTCCTTGACCTTCCCATTGGACTGTGCACACACACACACACACACACACACACACACACACACACACTACCCTGAGCCCCTCAACTCAGAGAGCTCCCATCCAGCAGCAGTGAGAAGCAAAACCTCTGCCACAAAGGAACAGGTGAAGTACCCTTGGACCACCCTCAGCTCCCCCGCCTGCCCATGCCCAGCATTTCTCCAGCCTTAGCTCCATCCTCACATCCCCTACCCCCACCCCACCCCCAAAGCAGTGTGTCAAATAGCTGGGGCATCTGCAGAACCTGAGTAAGGGATCGCCCCCAGGGGGCCAGGCATTTAAGGAACCAGTGACTCCTGGCAGGCTCACTGTTAAGGCAAAGGAAGAAGGAGACTGGCCAGTCTACAGCCCAGGCACTAGCTGCTCCTCCAAGACTGTGGACACAGCGTTTGAGGGTTAGGAGGTACTGGTTTCACGAAGGTAAGACTTCCCTTATCTCTCAAGAAGGGGCAGAGCCTGCTACCTTGTGAGGCCAGAGAGGGACAGCTGGGACAGAGGTGGTCTCCGAACCTAGAGGGAGAAACTGGACAAGCCGAGATACGTCATGGTGGGGCAGGGGATAAAGCTTAGCGTCGAACTGCCTAGCTCAGAACAGGGCTTTTGGAGTCCCCTGGAAGGGCGCTGGACTGGGAGTCAGGAGGACAGGTTCTATCTCTCAGGCATGAGTTTCCTCCTGTACAAAGCAGGGGTGTTAAAACTGCCATGCTGGTTAGATAAAAGATGGTAGGCACCTGATTCATCGAAATACTGCATAGCTGCTAACAAGAATGGGGAAATGATGAACTGGTAGGGAGAGGCCTCCAAATGTATGAAATGCAAAAGGAAGGGCTGAACAGTGTGTATGATAGGCTACCTCACATGTAAAAAAGGGAAGTGAGGACAAAGACATTCATATTTTCACGAAGGAGCCTAAAGACCACCCCTACTTACCTGTTGGGGGAGGGTCAGGAGATAGAGGGGCTCAAGAGTGGAAGGGAGCCTCTTCATAAAGATGTTTATATTGTTGTATTTTTTAACTATGTGATTAACTACCAATTCAAAAAAATATATGAGAAATAAAAACTCAGCCTCTGTCTTTACTACATCACAAACATAAGAGCTGGAGAAATGAGCTGTCATCTGTCCTAGCATTCCCCCAATGCCAGGGGTCCCCGGGGCCCAGAAAGAAAATCCACAGCTTCCTTCCAAGGCCAGCTCCAGTATGGCTTAGTCAAGAAGTTCTTCTTAGGTCTGACTTCATTCCTTCTGATGAAACCTGTCAGTAAGTATCCTCATTGTCTCTCTGGGCCTTACTTGGTTCCCTGGATAAACCTAAGCCCTACATGCTCTCCTCCCAGAACTTGGAATGGTTTGGGATTAACTCAGCGGAGGACCAGCCCATTGGGCCTTGTAACCAGGCTGGAAAAGTGAGATACAAAGGGGAGAAAACAGAGGCTTGTTGCCTCTCACCCGACACTTCTCACCCTCTCCTGTGCCCTGCCGTTGCCCCTTGTGTCCACCTGCCCCATCCCTTCACACTCACACACACACACACACCATCTCTGAAGCTCTCTCCTACTCCCTTCCTTGTCCTTCATGGCCTCATCCTCTCCCTGTCCCAGGTGAGTGCCCACGCCTGCTGTCACCATGACAACCATTCACCACCAGCAGATGCATCAAGAGCACATGTCCACGGAGTTCTCCAGCTCCACCACCCACGTGCAGACCTTCTCCTAGACAACCAAGATCGTGGGAGGCAAGTAGAATGGGGGCGGGGGCATCAGGAAGGGGCAGCCTTTCTTCCTCCACATCCGCCCCCTGGGGGGCCTCGGTCTTTGTGACTACTGGGCCCCTCAAGAGCCCAAGATAACGAAGAGCAACCCTCTTCCAACCTGTGCTTTGATAAAGCTTCAGCTGGCCCTATGTTCACCCATAAATCAGCTCTCCAGGGAAAACAGCTTAGGAAAAATCAGTCACATGGTTGTGTGTGAGTGACTGATGAACTCTTGATCACTTGAGATCAGAGCCATAGGCAAACACACATGTACCTCCGATGGCAGAATTTCAACATCAAGGAAGTTATGGGGGTAGCTACCTTATCTACATATGAGTCATGCTGACCTTGCTCCACTTAAGAGATAGAAGACTTTGAGCTGCCAGTGGAGAGAGGGTGAACAGATAAACAAATGACCTAAGCTTCCAGGCTCTCAGCCCTTGGAGACCAGACCTGGGGGAGGGCAGATCCAAGGGAAAGCTAAGAAATGGTCTCAGAGCAGAACAGATTGTTTTAGTCATCTCTCTAGAGAAAAGTAATTAGAAGATAGCCAGGGTCCAGGATATTGAATCCCCGCCCTCCCAGTCATTGCCCCTCCCACAAAGTCCTGGAAAAGCCGTCCTTCAAAGTCCTCTGTGCAGAGACGTCAAAGCCAGATAAACATGCTATACCAAGCCCTCCTGGTCAGTGACGCAGAGCAAAGAGAAGACTGGGACTTGAGGCCAGAAGTGGCACGTTGGAGTGATGACAGCACTAATTCTCAGCGCTGGCTGCAGCTAGAGCCATCTTAGTGTGGGGGTGAGAGGGAGTGGAGTGAAAAACATAGCAATACCTGAGTCTCACCCAACTGTTAAACCAGGTGTTTGATTTTAAAACTCCCCAGAGATTCTAATGTGCAACCAGAGTTTAAAACCACTGACCCACAGGGTCAGGGCAGGGAACATAAATGTGTGAAAAAGACTGAGGTGAATCAGAGAGGACATACCTTGTCTAAAGGGGCAGCCATGTTCACCTCCCACTGGTTGTTACCATATGGAAATACGAGAATCCAGAAATCTGAATTTTTATGTGAATCTCACAATTTTTAGATATAGGACTACTTTTTGTTTAAACACGGTAGAGGTCAAATAAAACACATGTTCAGGCCGGCACACTGCTTGTTCAAGACCTCTGACCGCTAGTTAACAGCAGGCCACAGGGCTTCTTAACACTTTTTTCTCTTCTCAGTTGTTCAGATTGGTGGGGATAATACAGGCACCTCCTTCACTGGGTCGTTACGAGGTTTAAACAAAACCTCTGAAATGTGTTTAGCATAGATCCTGACAAAGAAAGGGCTCCAAGATTCAGAGCAATTGTTATTAACTCACTAGCCAACAAGATTTTGTGTAGTGTAGTTTATATTGAAAAAAACAACTTTTTGTTTCCCATATATAAAATTATATTACCACCTTGAATATGCTCTTTCAAATAGTGAGATTCCCATAGGTAGTCCCACTGGACTGGGAATGTTTGCTGTCCCTCATTCAGGACTGTGGGTTCAGCATCCATGGCAATGAATGCTGAACCCACAGAAGGGAAGGGAGAGGGCCCACAGCAGAGATCAGCCAAGCTGCTAGACCTCCCAAGCAGAGCAGGCCCAGCCTCTCCTGATGCTACTCAGGGACCAGGACTTCCAGGAGCCAAGCACAAGAGATCAAGAAATTCCCAAAAGAGAAGTCTCCTTTAAAAAAAGTTAGGACTCAGGGCTGTGGCCCAAAAGGGGTGATTAACCCGTTGAGGGGTGGGAGAGAAGTTGGCTCCCCCTGGTGGTTGAAATTTTCCATAATACAATGACTCACCAACTCTAAGGGCCGCCTTTCTCCACCAAAGCCAGTCCTGCTGGCACTGGCCTAAAGTGTTCCACCATCCCCTCAAGAAAAGGCCAGTTCTCCAGTACTGGCCTGAGCTCCGCTTGGACCCCATTCTGACCTCTCACCTGCCACCACAGAGGAAGTCACAACAACAAAGTCCTCATCGAGCACTGTAGAGTTCTTCAATTTGGTGACTCGAAGTACCAACATCCCTGCGGGCGAGAGCGTCCCTGAGTTCGTGGAGAAGCCTCACCCAGTCATGGCACCTGAGGGTACTTAACCCCCATCCCATGGGTCCCCATGCCCCTGGGTGCTTCTCTTTCTTTCCCATAGCCCCAGCCACCCCACTACCACCACCACGGTTCCTCAGTTCACAAACACTGGCAGAGCCAGGCCAAGTGTCCCTCTCCTGCTTGAGCTGGGGCAAGATCCCTGGGAGGAAGCAGGGAGGAGGCAGAAGGTGCAGCCTGGAGGCTGAGGCGACCATGCATCCCATGCCCACTGCAGGGGATAAAGCCGTGTTCCAAGCCCAGGTGCAAGGGAACCCCAAACCCAACATCTCCTGGAAGAGGGAAAGCGGCATCCCCGTCAAGGAGTCTACCAAGATATTCTATGACAGCGTTAACAAGGAGCACGTGCTGAAGGTGCGGGGCCTGAGTCAGAGATCCAGTTACCTATGAGCCAGAGGCAGGGACTCCCTCACTGGGGGAGCCTCGGGTCCTCTCAGCCACAAGACAGTCACAGCGAAACCCCAGAACTGGGAGATGGGAAAAGAGGCTGTCATTGCCCTAGAGGAGAGGCAGGATAGGAGAGTCCAGTGAGGAGCTGGGGCTTTCCCAGAGTGAGCAGGGGACCAAACTTAGGGGTAGGGTGAGGCAGAGCTAGAGCAAAGCCAGAATGAGGAGGGGGCTGTCACAAATGGAAAAGAAAGAGCGTTCAGAGGGTGGGTGAGCCTAAAGGAACTAGAGACCAAAGCTATGAGTGTGGCTGGAAAGGGGCAGGACCATAGTGAGTGGGGTGAAGCTGAGTTGAGGGATGGAGGGAGAGGCTGATCATAGAGTAGGAGTGAGGGTAGGGTTCCTGGGCTTTTCAGGGGAGCCTTCCAGAAGAGTCTTGCCAAGGGCTGATAATACTTAGGTCTAACCAGCTTCTTCAATCTCTGGTCTGGAACCAGAAGTTGAGAAAAAGGAGGGATGGGTCCCTAGGAGAACTAGACCTATAATTGGTCCTGCCCCAATTGGTCCTGCCCCCAACTTCCATTGTGAAAAGCAAAGAGCCTCCCTGCTCCTCCAGAAACCAAAGTTGGTTCCTTCTCCTCACAAAGACCCACTATGGACCCTCAGCCCCCCAGAGTTCCCTACTCACCACCCCTTGCACAAACTTTCACCCAGCAAGCCCTTTCTGAGAGCTCACTGGGATGTAAGTACCATGCTACAGGCACCAAGACAGCCTCATTCATCACTCTTTCCTCAGGGGCTCAGCCCGGGGCCTGGTGTGGAGGTGTAAATATATGGTAAAGAAAGGGGCACTCTGGCCTATTGCCAGAAACTGCAGATAAAATTACAACACAGAAGAAGTCCCTGTCTTCCAGGAGCTCACAGCCCAAGGGGAGAATCCAGTGCAGAATCAGGCTACAAGCACAGACACACTGACTGCTACCTGGTACCCCCAAATCATAGAGGCTGTTCAATCCTCCACACGTACACTCAACACTCAGCTCCTCCCTCAGCCCCCCAAATAGGCCCTCCCTTCCCACAGAAAGTCTCCTTATGGTCTCCTCCCCTGCCCTTTACTAATGGTCTGACTCTGATCCAGCTGGAGCCACTGACCTCGGATGACTCTGACAACTACAAGTGCATTGCAAGCAATGACCACGCAGATGCTATCTATACTGTGTCCTTGCTGGTGACAGAGGGTGAGCCAGTCCCATCCTCCTGGCCTTTCTTCTTAAGGACCAAACTCCCCCTATCTGACCTTCTCCATCTTTCTGTCCCCAGGTCAAGATAAAATGGATTTCAAAAAGATGTTGAAGAAGAGGTGAGGCTGGAAGGCTCCTCCACCCAGGGTGCTGACCCTGCACCCTCCAGGCTAGAGCTTCTCGAAGGCCTTTCAACAGGGCTTCGATTTAATGGCCTAGGCTCCAAGAATCCATGGAGTGGGGAGGAGTATCTCAAGGTTAGGAGAAGCTCTCTCTGTCTTCAGAGGGAGTTGCTGTGTCCAAACTTGGTACCTACCTCCTCCCAGGGCTCCTCCTGCTCCCAAGAAGCAGCAGAAGAAGGTAACAGATGAGAAAGAGATGCTGGAGATTTTGTCCAATGTGCCCAAGAAGGACTTTGAGAAAGTCTGCATGGAGTACGGTTTCACTGACTTCCGGGGGCTGCTCAAGAAGCTCAAAGGGATGAAGAAAGTAGAGGTGGAGGTCAGTGCCCATCTGGGGGCAGGGGTCTGCAGGGTGGGCTTGGGTCCCACTGAAGGTGCTAGTGCCTGTGTGTCTCCTGGCCTGCACACACATACTCAAAGGCATGCTTTACAGCGAAAGCAGGAAAGGAACTCAAGTCACCTTCCTTCTGCCTCTCCTCTCTTCACCACTCCCTAATATACTTGCATGCACTTGGAGTCAGACGGACCTGGGCTCAAATCCCAGTTCTTCTGCCTTATTAACTGTGTGAACATGGGCGTCTCTCTGAACCTGTTTCCTCATCTGCCAAATGAAAATTATACTTTCCTCTTTCATTTGTTTTTTGTTGTTGTTAATTCTCACCACAGGATATTTTGATTTTTTTTTTTTTTTATAGACAGCGTGGAAGGGAGGGAGGGGGGAGGGGGAAAGAGAAACAGAGAGAGACACATCGATTGGTTACCTCCCACACACACCCCGACCTGGGCTGGGGATCAAACCTGCAACTCAGGTTCTTGCCCATGACCAGGAACTGAACCCATGACCCTTCCATGCACTGGCGGACACTCTAACCACTAAGCCACACCGGCCAGGGCCTCTTTCATTTGTTTTTGTGGTGTTGTTGTCATTCATTTACTCAACTAACTTGTCATCATTACTCATCTGCACTGGAACTAGAAAATCTATGGAATGGGTTCGGGTCCATAGTAACTATCCTGCAAGTGATGGCGCTTTTCTCATCCCCTAGCATATCTGTCTCCCTCTAAATCTTCCAATTGATCAGTGGCAGGAGGTAGGGGAAGCACAGCTACCTAATCAGTCTAGTCATTTCACCTCAGACCCTTGGGGGGCTCCTCCAGGGTTGGGGACACAGACTGGGTAGGCTTCAGGTGCCCCTGACACTGCCATTTTGTATAATCTCTCAGGCCATCCGGATTCTGAAGCTCCTAGAAGACATAGAGACCAAGATTGACACCACGGTGACCTTTGAGTGCATCATGGAGCTGAAGGACCCCAATACCAAGATGACATGGGTCAAGGTGGGGGAGCACCTAGTCAGGGCCCACCTAGCAATGTCATTTCCTCTCTGCACCCCTCCCTTCGCAGACCCTCTCATTATCCATCAGCCATGTCCTCTCTCCCATCCCATCAGGAGGACGCCTCCTGGTGTGGTAGAAACTGGCTGGGAGCTGGGCTCTATTTTTAGCTGTTCTACAACTTTGCTATTTAATTTGAGACATTTTCGTTTCCTCTACACCTTGGTCTACCCATCTGAAAAGGCTGTATTAGATGGTCCTGAAGGTCACTGAAGACCTGTGCCTCTAAGAGAAAGCATCTAATGAACTCACACATATTAAGGTCTCAGCCTTAGGGAAAGCAGGGACTCTGGACCCCACTGAGACAGAGGATGAGGCTAGAGAGATCTTAGGGGCCTCTGGCTGTGTTTTCCGATCTTAGAGAGGTAGACCTGGCACCTACCAGCTCAGACTGGCCTTGGGGAATGGACGCCTCTGAAAATCTCCTAAACCACTTCATCAGCTTTTCTACCTGTTTCACGAGGCAGGATACTGAACCACTGAGGATCCAGTACTCCCTGGGCAAATATGATGTGAAGCAGGTGGGCACCAAGTACATGCTGGTTATTACCAACGTGAATATGAACGACGCAGGCACCTACAGCCTATCTGTGGGCGACAAGCAGATGACTGCAGAGCTCAAAGTGTTGGGTATGAGTGTGGGCATCAGGGGCACAAAGAGGATATGTTCAGGGGGAGGAATAACCAAGGATGGGGTCCATGAGAATATGAAAGAGAGGACTATGGGGCTATGCAAGAAAGGACTGCATGGGGATGGGAGTTCATGTAGCAAGGAGACAAGTTGTGTAAGGGAGAGGACTATGAGATGATAAATGCCATTGGCCAGTGTAGTATAGTGGTTAAGAGCTTAGTCTCTAGAACTAGACTATTGGGGTTCAAATCCCAGCTTCTGTCACTTATGAGCTGTGAGATTGGGGCAAGTTATTTAACTTCTCTTTGCCTCAGTTTCCCCATCTGTAAAATGGGGAATAAAAGTAGAATCTACCTGTGTGGGAATTGGATGCATTAATATGTACACATTGCCTGGAATAGTGCCTGGCACTTACCTAAAACTACACAAGTGCTTTTTAAAATTGCCGTTACGATCACTGGGAAGGAGATGGTATGAACACCATGAAAGGGGACTCCAGGATTCTGAGCAGAATGAAAGGAAGGATACTTCCCCCAACTGTGGGCTATAGGAGGTCAATGACACCTGAGTCTCCTTCACTATCCCACTCCTAAGGAGAGACCAGGGCTGTAGTCCAATGACTGCCCCTCCTTTTTGCTGCAGATGAGCCGCTGAAGTTCTTGGGAGAGATGAAGCCAGTGAAGGTGACAGAGCGCCAGACGGCTGTATTTGAGATCCGCCTCTCCAAGAAAGTGCCCAACTTTGTGTGGAAGTTCAACGGGAAAGAGCTGAAGAGGGATGAAAAGTATGAAATCACAGTGTCCGAGGATGGTCTGACCCACACGCTTAAGATTAAGGATGCCAGACTCAGTGACAGCGGCGAGTTTTCTGCCGAGGTGGGGGACCTGGTACAGAAGGCCCAGCTCACTATTGACCATGAGTGATTGGGCCAGAGCTTGAGGGGTGGGCATTATGCCAGAGCAACCTCCATATGGGCAGTCACCCATCCATCCATCCACCCCACCCATCCACCCATCTCCTCTTTCCAAGGCCCTTTGATGGGTGCTAGAAAGAGAGAGGATTTGCCTCTCCACTAACTCCTAGTCTAGTGGGAGAGGCATTTGTGGAAATGGAATTAGAAGCTCTCAAGCAAGGGGTCAAGATACACTGGGGTCTTATTGCCAGCTGGGAAATCATGGGCCAAGAAATTATTAGCCTTTATGTCTCTAATATCATACATTACAGCATATCACTCTCGATTATTCACATTCTTGTAACTAGTTTGGAGAATTGCACATAATGGTGGGTACACTGAGAAGCATGTCACACACGTGAACCACACGTGCTTGACACACGTGACATGGAAGTATCATTACTGTGATGGAGGGAGACACAGAAGTTGTAGTAGCCCAAAGAAGAGGCGCCACCTGACAATGTCAAAAAGAATGGGATGAGGTGATGGCCAAGCTTTACCAAGAAGAACAAAAGTAGTTCAGCTTTCAGAGAAGGAAGGAGAGGACATCTCAGCAGAGGGAATAGCATGTGTAAAGGCCCAGGCACCAGAGAGACAATGCAATTATGGCTGGAGTTACAAGGGGCATTTATCCCATTTTACATATGAGGAAACTGAGATTCAGAGAATGAATGCATTACATACAGTAAGCTAGCAAGTAAGGGGCAGAGCTGGGACTCGCCCTGCCAGGTGCCTTCATGGGTCACATGTTGCATGCAAACACACTCCGCGTCACAAGTCCCTGTGTTTTCTAGGGCCAAAAAGAGGAACAGAGCAGAAGTAGCTGCAGAAAAGGATGTGTAGGAGATTGGGGGCAGGGCCAAGTGTTTATCTGTCCACAGGAATCCCCATCAAGTTTGTGAGCACCCTCAAGAATGTACGTGTGAAAGAGAGGAGCCGTGCTTGCCTTGAGTGTGAGCTGATATCCAAGAATGTGACGCTACGCTGGAAGAAGGAGGGCAGCTGCTGGAGCATGGCACCAAGTACAGCATGAGCCATGAGGGCAAGCGAGCAGAGCTGATCATTGAGGATGCACAGCTCAGTGATGGTGGCGAGTACACCGTGGTGGCAATGCAGGATGGGGACCCCACTGAATACTGCAGTACTGCCGTGGTCACCGTGGAGGGTACACACCCACCCTGTCAGTCCCCATGACCCTAAGAGTTCCCTACCCTGGATGTGGATCAGCCCCCTTACTGACTCCAACCCTCCCCCAGACCATGATCAGTTTCTACCTCCCCACTCTGTCCACCTCCATCTCCCAAATTCTGACCACCTCTGACCTCCCAGGCCCTGAACCTCCTAGATCCTGATCATCCCCATCTCTTGAACTCTATCCAAAATTTCTTGACTTCATCCATCCTTTACTTCCAGCTTCTGACGATCCCCAGCAACTGTGATCCTCCCACACCCCTTGACCCTGGCCAGCCCCTGCTCACTAGCCCCAACCATTCCCCACTGACCCTTACCACCCTCGATTCCCAATAACCCTGGGCATCCCATAGACCAGCAAAACCACAACTAAACATCCCACCTGCATTCGCACCATCTATTCCCCTTCTTTGACTGAGCATCCTAAGTCCCCACGGACCGTTCTCTATGATCGGCTACCC